TTGACGGAGTCGGTACCTTCGTGCATATCAATCAAAGTATCCCAAATTTCCTTTGCATTCTCAAGACGGTTGATTTTATTGAATTCTTCGGGGCACAATCTGTTGAAGAGAATATCACAAACTTGAGCATTGTATTGCAGCATCTTCAACTCTTCCGCGGTAGCTTCACGGTTTGGTTCTCTCCCATCAAAGAATTCACCTTGCAAGCCAATACATACAATAGCCCAAACGGTGGGGTTATGTCCAAGAATATGCATTTTCATCTTATGCTTACAACTAGCAAAATTAGTACCATCAAAGTAAGGACCTCTACGGTGGTAATTTCCCTCGCTAGACGCCATACTCTCCTAGGTTGTGAAACCAAGGCTATGATCACCTAAAGCTATGGAAATAAAAGCAAATGGAGACCAAAGCTCTAATACCACTTGTAGGATCGAAAGTATGTCTAGAGGGGGGTGATTAGACTGGTTGACCAACTAAAAATCTAGCTTTTTCCACATTTTAAGTCATGGCAGATTTTAACAACTTAGCACAAGTCAAGTAATTATCCTACACATGCAATTCTAAGAGTATAGCAGTGGAATGTAAAACAATTGCATATGAAGGTAAAGGGGGGAGTTTGTGGGAGCAAAAACAATGTAGACACGGAGATTTTTGGCGTGGTTCCGATAGGTGGTGCTATCGTACATCCACGTTGATGGAGACTTCAACCCATGAAGGGTAACGGTTGCGCGAGTCCATGGACGGATCCACCCACGAAGGGTCCATGAAGAAGCAACCTTGTCTATCCCACCATGGCCATCGCCCACGGAGGACTTGCCTCACTAGGGTAGATCTTCACGAAGTAGGCGATCTCCTTGCCCGTACAAACTCCTTGGTTCAACTCCACAATCTTGACAGAGGCTCCCAAGTGACACCTAGCCAATCTAGGAGAGGCCACTCTCCAAAAGGTAATAGATGGTGTGTTGATGATGAACTCCTTGCTCTTGTGCTTCAAATGATAGTCTCCCCAACACTCAGCTCTCTCTCATAGGATTGGATTTGGTGGAAAGAGGGTTTGAGTGGAAAGCAACTTGGGGAAGGCTAGGGATCAAGATTTATGTGGTTGGAGTGGAATATCTTGACCTCAACACAAGTCTAGTTGGTTCTCTCTCAGAAAATGTATGTTGGGATTTTAGGCATGTTCTGATGGCTCTCTCCATGAATGAAGAGTGGGTGGAGGGGTATATATAGCCTCCACACAAAATCTAACTGTTACACACAAATCACCAAACTCGGTGGGACCGAATCATGAAACTCAGTTAGACTAATTTAGTTCAAAATGTGAACGTTAGGATTTTCGGTGGGACCGACATGTCAGCTAGGTGGGACCGATTCCATTAGGGTTAGGTCATAATGTAATCCCGGTGAGACTGATTACACAAACTTGGTGGGACCGATTTTGGTAATAGGCAAACAGAGAGTTGGTCAGGCAAACTCGGTGGGACCAATTTGCTCATCTCGGTTAGACCAAAACGGTACGAAGGGGAAACAGAGAGTTTGCATTGCAATCTCGGTGGGACCGATCGCTCATCTCGGTTGGACCGAAACGTTACGAAGGGAAACAGAGGGGTTGCAATCCCATCTCGGTGAGACCGAAATGACTAGGGTTTGTGGCAGTAGCTATGTCAAGTGAACTCGGTGGCGCCAGGTAGGAAATTTCGGTGGGGCTGAGTTTGACTTTTGGTTTGGGACATATGTGGATATGAGAAAGTAGTTGAGGGTTTTGGAGCATATCACTAAGCATTTTGAGCAAGTAACTCATTAAGCAACACCTCATCCCCTTTTTATAGTATTGGCTTTTCCTATGGACTCAATGTGATCTTGGATCACAAAAAGTAAAATGTAGAGTCTTGAGCTTGAGCCAACATGTGTTCTTAGTATTTTGAGGGGTCCACTTTTTGATCCATGCCATGCCAAACATTGAGCTTTCCTAAAATATTTATCTTGAAATAGCATTAGCTCAATGGGCAATACGTTGTTAGGAATTACCAAAACCACCCAGGGATAGAGTCACTTTCAGATGGTCGGCTTGGCGGTCGACGGCCATGCCGCCTCCTCTCATGACGACGGCTAGAGGATGTAGGAAACGCAGTACGACTATGAGGTATGCCAGGGTCGTCCTAAAAGTTGTCAGGGATCGCCAGCGGGTGATACTGCTGACTCGGCGCAGAGTAAGGCGGATGGTGCGGGCGATGGAGCAGGAACCGCGACAGCGCAAGGACAACTGCGGTAGTGGCGGCTGCCACACGAGGCACATGGTTATGTCCCAGATGGAGGAGGGTGCAGCGCTGGACGTCGCCAGGGCATGCCTAGAGGCCGTGACAGTAGCCCTGGAGAGATCCAACATCGTCCCTCGATACGTCGCCCAGGCAGACCCGACGGTCGCGGTAGCCCTAGTAAGCGTTGTGCCTGAGGAAGTACCGACAATCCCTGATGCCGAGGATGCCCTAGGCTCAATCGATCAAGGTTTGTAGGTCGTCGAATTGGCAGCCTCCGCTCCTCCTGAGCCCAGGATCGACACGCTGATGGACGATGGTTGGTAGGCATGCTAGGTCGGCGTCAGGTGCACAGTAGCTCTTTTGTGCGCGCGCGGTTCGCTATATTCTTGTAAACTAGCAAGCTAATGGTTTGTAAATTACTCGTCAAACTAGGCACTGGACCAATAATTTGAGCATATATATATATATAGGGTGAGTCTATTCTAATAACACCCTTAAGACCTTATTCTAATAACACTAAATCTTATTCTAATAACACTCCCGCAAAACCCCAAACCGAACCACACGACAAAGAAAAAAAGAGGAGCCACCACCCCACCCCACCTCCATCCTCCTCTCCACCCCCAACCTCTGCCCGCATCCACCCACTCCCGACCCACCTCCTTCCCCCGTTCTACCCCAATCACACCTACCGGCCATGGATCCGGACCGGCAGCTACCCCAGCGGTCCTCCTGGCGGCGGATCCGGGCCGGCTAGCATCCCTCCCCCTCAGCTTCTTCCCCCACTACACCCCAATCCCCACCCACTCCATGGTCGGCAG